CTTAAATGATACCATACTGTCTGGCTTATTTTAAAAAACTAAGAAAAGGTTGTGAAAAAAATCACAAACCTAAGAAGTCAGGTTGGTGAGGATTAAAGTTGAAAGTAGTAAAGGACAGCCTGAAATCTAGTAAATTCACTTGTCAGGAATTTGGAAGCTAAATGTTATGGTTCTTGTGTGAGCACACTTGATTAACAGAGTCTTTTTCAGAGTAAAACATTTCAGAATATAATGACACAAATGAAAGAGGAGAAGGAGGGATGAATATTATAACTTCCTCCTTTCCATATACATCTTGCTATCGTGCCTCCAAACATAGTTTTCTCTCTTAGAAAGGCCTCTGCTTGATCCAGTTAACCCCTCAATCTGGTATTTGGCTTTAAGGATCATTTGTCTCCCCTCTTCAGGCTGTTAAGATAGCTTCTTGTTTCCTTTTGCAAATCCTCCCTCCTTTCCCCAGCCTTCATAAAAGGTGGGAAAGGGGAAGATAGCTGTCTGGCTTTATTTCTACGCGAAACAAATTTAACTGATGTTACTAATAGGGTCCTTTCTATTAAATAAAAACCACCATTTTTCTTAATTTTTTTTTTAACCAAATTTTGCCTGTGACAATGAAAATTCAGTAGTTTGCTTTCTTTCCTGAGTTTTTTTTCATGTGACCTAGGTTTTCCTGTGTGCCTTTCTATTATACTGACCTGTTCCATTGAATGTTGTTTAATGGCACATTATAATCCCCTTAACGTGACTTATTTTAATTTCCTTCAAGGATCTTTTCATTCTCTCCTCTTTTATTTCTGTAACTTCCCTTTTTTAATATCCTTTATATTATATATTATACTTTGTCGCATCCTGTGTCTTAGTGACTGTGTTATTGCTGCATCATTTCAGCTGGTATGTTTCATTCCGGTCTTCAATTCTGAAAATATGACTTTAACTCAGACCTTTTTTCTGATAATTCCTTCTTTTTGTGTAATGTCTGCCAAATCACAATTTCCGCATCATTTTTCCTGTTTCTCCTGTGATGAAGAAATTTATATCCCTGTCGCTTTGTCACTCAGTTTGATCCTCAGCTAAGTATTTTCACTGCTAAAGCCTTTCATTTTTCCAATATCCTTCTGGTTTGTCCAATATCTGCTCTTTTTGGGGTTGTGTAGATTTATCTTACATCTAATAAATTTTTTACATCAGGATTTCATCTTAGTCTGCTACTTTATTTATTTATTAGGATAAAGATGGAAGTCAAATAATGGATCTGGAAGTACTCAAAAATGCTAATTTTCTTCTTCTATTAAAGGAAGAAAATAATCGACCAGATTTTAACTTCCCAGCTGGTTTTGAAGATAGTATTTTAGGAGATAATCTGTCATCAAGAACTGGAGTCCCAGGGCTAATTACTAATGAGCTTGCACAAAGCACTACTAGTCTTGGCAGTAGCAATAGCAGTGGAGATGCAGGAAGACAGCATTACAGTGCAGGTAAGATTTTGTTTGTTTGTTTGTTTCCCCCCATAACTTGTTTATAATATAACAAGGGAAAACTCTTATGTGTGAAATCATTCATAACAGTGGAAGCTGTGGTAATCTGAAATTATTTCAAGCCCTTAAGATAAGTACAAGCAAATTTCTACTTCCATTCTGTACTCTCCTCTTGCAGTAGCAAATAGCTAATGCTTCTGTCTTTGTTGAATGTATAAAAAGTTGATACAAAATGCAGGGATTTAACTGTAAAAATACTTCCTCTATGTACGTGATATGAAGATTCCTGACTAATTATAGCCAGGAACACCTGCTCATTCATGTAAAGTCATAATACCCTGAAAGTTCTTGAAATATTAATACAGAAAAGCAGAGCAGTGTTCAAGAACTGCACATAGTTGCATAACTAATGGAGGCAGATCTTTTGAGCAGGGGAAAAAAAAAAAACAAACTGAAAACAAACAAACAGAACCAACCCCACAGCCCCAAGCCCACAAAAAAACCAAAGCAACACACAAAAAATGCATCAGCTTTACTGTGGAATAGGAGGTATTGGATGCATACTTGATTTGAAGTTGTGAAGGTAAATAATTGATGAATGTATGCCTATTGCTAAATTGTCCTTTCCCTGCCCCCCCAGTTCTAAAACTGGATGAAGTAAATCTAATCATTTTCAGTTCAGATTTGATTCAATTAGATTTGATTCTTATTTTGAGAAAACGATGTGTTGCTGAACCAGCTGGGGGTTTGGTTTAGCTCTCTTTGCAGTACTTTAATGATGCAAATATCGTAAAGCCACATGCATCAAGAGAGGAAGAACTATCTTGCAGACTGGACGTAAGGTGGCCCTGTTTAGCAAAATCTTGACGAGATATCTTCTAGTTCCAGTTCGTTAGGAGGGTTATAAGAACTAACTATAAAGAATGGCAGCCATCAACAAGATACATAAAATTTGTTCATAAACATAATCTTTAGCTGAAGAAGCAGAGGAGCCTTCTTTATGATGAGGGGATTTTGGTAGTGATTTTTTTAATAGGGAAGTTTGACTTGTCAGAGGAAGTAATGCTGATAGTTTTGCTTCCTAAAACTGATTCCAACCATTTCCTTCTGGTAAACATTCCAACTCTTTTTCCCTTTCTCCCGGGCAAAGCTCATAACCCTAAAACCCAGCCTTAACAGAAAAAGATTATCTGTTTGACTGCAATGTTAGCCAGGGAAAACTTAAGCACAGTAATGGCATACTTGGTATCATGTGTCTCACCTGGTACTATGCTGTTTGCTATTTACATATGGATGTATCATGCAAGAAATCTTGAACAACTTTTTAGAATATATATATTGAGCAATCTTACTGCTCTTTACCATTCTTTATTCTTTGTATTATTCTATTTCTTTGTATTTTCAGATTTTATTCACTGATGCTTTTTTCTTTTACCAGTCTGTGATATATTGTGTTAGAGAAAAATAACTTTGAAATGTTAATCACAAAAATTATATTTATTTATATTGTAATTATAGTATCAGTGAAGTTACAGAGCTACACATATCTTTGGAGATCTTCTGGTACAATTTTCTTTCTTGGTCGAACAGAAATTATTTGCTTTGGGAATGGATGAACTTCTCTTTCCTTGAATAAAAGACCCAAATGACTCTTTCTGTACAGGTGAAGTTTCATTCCCAAGAAGTATGAAAGTTCTAGATTCTGAGAAGTCAGAGCACAGCTCTTCGCACAATACTAGTTTATCCAGCATTTTCCAGAACTAAAATGTTAATCAAAAATTATATTTATTTATATTGTAATTATAGTATCAGTGAAGTTACAGAGCTACACATATCTTCTTCTGGTACAATTTTCTTTCTTGGTCGAACAGAAATTATTTGCTTTGGGCTTTGGGGAACTTCTCTTTCCTTGAATAAAAGACCCAAATGACTCTTTCTGTACAGGTGAAGTTTCATTCCCAAGAAGTATGAAAGTTCTAGATTCTGAGAAGTCAGAGCACAGCTCTTCGCACAATACTAGTTTATCCAGCATTTTCCAGAACTATGCAATGGAGGTAAGATTAATAAACTCATAGATGAAAGACGTAATTATTCAATATTACGGTATGCATTAATTACCTATTTGGTTGGATTGTGGTTGGATTTTTCAAAACAATTTTTTCCCATGTTTCTACTGCAAAGATGCTTGATACTTTTAGCCCAGGGTGTGACAGTAGCTTTAAAAAAGAAAAGTGTGTTAAATGCTTTTATGTATCTCATATATAGAGAGAAGAGACAACTGAGGAAAGGGTCGAAACTTGAAGTGAGACAGAAATTAGAGAGGAAACATACCATTCTTTATTCTTTGTATTATTCTATTTCTTTGTATTTTCAGATTTTATTCACTGATGCTTTTTTCTTTTACCAGTCTGTGATATATTGTGTTAGAGAAAAATAACTTTGAAATGTTAATCACAAAAATTATATTTATTTATATTGTAATTATAGTATCAGTGAAGTTACAGAGCTACACATATCTTTGGAGATCTTCTGGTACAATTTTCTTTCTTGGTCGAACAGAAATTATTTGCTTTGGGAATGGATGAACTTCTCTTTCCTTGAATAAAAGACCCAAATGACTCTTTCTGTACAGGTGAAGTTTCATTCCCAAGAAGTATGAAAGTTCTAGATTCTGAGAAGTCAGAGCACAGCTCTTCGCACAATACTAGTTTATCCAGCATTTTCCAGAACTATGCAATGGAGGTAAGATTAATAAACTCATAGATGAAAGACGTAATTATTCAATATTACGGTATGCATTAATTACCTATTTGGTTGGATTGTGGTTGGATTTTTCAAAACAATTTTTTCCCATGTTTCTACTGCAAAGATGCTTGATACTTTTAGCCCAGGGTGTGACAGTAGCTTTAAAAAAGAAAAGTGTGTTAAATGCTTTTATGTATCTCATATATAGAGAGAAGAGACAACTGAGGAAAGGGTCGAAACTTGAAGTGAGACAGAAATTAGAGAGGAAACAAGATTTTTTTTTTTTCCCCTTTCAAGCATTTTTCTGTTTGTTTTTTTTTATTCCCCCCTTTATGTGTTGTTACTAAATAATTGTGGTGGGTTGACCACAGCCAGCAGCTAAGCCCTCACCCAGGCACTTGCTTACTCCCCTCTCATCAGGACGGGGGAGAGAATCAGAAGGGCAGAAGCGAGGAAAAAAAGCTTGAAGTTCGAGACAAAGACAATTTAATAAGTGAATTGGGGGGGGGGGAGTAACAGGAGGGGGGACAACAAAAAACAAGTGATGCAAAGGTGATCAGTTGGCACCATGACACCCCAAGCAACAGCTACCTTGGAAAAACTCCACACACACACAGAGTTTTATCATTGAGTATGATGTTATATAGTATCTCTTCGGTCAGCAGAGGTCAGCTGTCCCCTCCCAACCTCTTGTCCACCCCCAGCTTCCTTGCTGGGTTGGGGGCAGAATGAGAAAGAAGAGGACATGATGGTGTGTAAGGCACTGTTCAGCAATAGCTAAAACACTGGTGTGTTATCAACACGGAGGTGATCACCAGTCTAAAACACAGCACCATAAAGAATGCTATAAAGAAAATTAACTATCCCAGCCAAACCCACCACAATAATCATTTAGTATGCCTATCTGTTTCAGTTATCTCTTGCAGATGCTTTCAGACTTCAGATACGTAGGCAATGGTTATTGTGTTTGCCTTGGTCACTTTTCTTTCAGCTGTAGTGTTATTTTCCTAGGTCCCATGTAATTTTCTTTTATGTTTGATCTTCTGGACATCTAGGCTTGTCAAACTTCTGCACTGCATTATATAATGGGCATAGCATAGTAAAAGAAAAATGTTGCCATTGGGCAAATATCTAAAATATATTATGCTGTGTTGATCTAAAATATATTATAAGCTATGTTTGGTGGTGGTTTTTTGGTTTTATTTCCTGTGAGAATAAAACAATGAAGTAAGAAGCAGCCTAAAAAATAAGGATTATAGACCATTCTTCAGCTAGTACAGAATTATTTTTTACCATCTTTTCTCCAGTTCTCAATCTAGTTTAGTGATGAGACTTCTGTTAGGTAAAAACCAACTTTCTGTTTTTTCCACTTGTATTGGGTTTGTGTGGCAAGGTTTTGGTAGTAAGGAGGCTACAAGGGTGCCCTCTGTGAGAAGATGCCAGAAGCTTTCCCTGTCCGATAGAGCCAATGCCAGCCGGCTCTAAGACAGACCAGCCGCTGGTCAAGGCTGAGTCCATCAGCAACGGTGGTAGCGCCTCTCTGATAACATATTTAAGAAGAGGGAAAAAACTGCTGTGCAACAGCAGCTGGGGGAGAGGCGTGAGAATATGTGAGAGAAACAGCCCTGCAGACACCAAGGTCAGTGAAGAAGGAAGGGGAGGAGGTGCTCCAGGCACCGGAGCAGAGATTCCCCTGCAGCCTGTGGTGAAGACCATGGTGGAGCAGATTGTCCTCCTGCAGCCCATGGAGGTCCACGGTGGAGCAGATATCCACCTGCGGCCCATGGAGGATCCCACGCCAGAGCAGGTGGATGCTCCCAAAGGAAGCTATGACCCTGCGGAGAGGAGTCCACACTGGAGCAGGTTTTCTGGCAGGACTTGTGACCCCATGGGGGACCCATGCTGGAGCAGTTCCTGAAGGACTGCACCCTGTAGAAAGGACACGTGGAAAGGATCCATGCTGGAGCAGTTCGTGAAGAACTGCAGCCCGTGGGAAGGATCCACATTCAAGAAGTTCATGGAGGACTGTCTCCTGTGGGAGGGACCCCACACTGAAGCAGGGGAAGAGAGTGAGGAGAAAGGAGCGGCAGAGACAACGTATGATGAACTGACCACAGCCCCCATTCCCCATCCCCCTGCACTGCCTTGGGGGGATGAGGTAGAGAAGTCCGGAGTGAAGTTGAGCCTGGGAAGAAGGGAGGGGTGGGGGGAAGGTGTTTTGAGATTTGGGTTTTATTTCTCATTACCCTACTCTGACTTTTGATTGGCAATAAATTAAATTAATTTCCCCTAGTTGAGTCTGTTCTGCCTGTGACAGCAATTGCCGAGTGATCTCCCCGTCCTTATCTTGACCCGCAAGCCTTTTGTTGTATTTTTCTCCCCCTATCCAGTTGAGGAGGGGGAGTGATAGAGCGGCTTGGTGGGCGCCTGGCAGCCAGCCAAGGTTAACCCACTACAGATGCCAAACAGGCTATAAAGGCTTCTTTTGTGTTTGTTTGTTTTTTTTGTTTTGGTGGGGTTTTTTTCTTTTTTGGAGAAGTAGACATGCATTTACTTATACAATTCAAAACAATTTGCTGAAGGCTTCATAGGAGCAAGCAATTGCAAATGTTGAATTAGTAGCATTTCAGGGTGATGCTTCTTCCACGTATCAAAATACCTAACAAAAATAAATTATTAGTATTTGCATTTCATAGGTAAAAGTTATGTGGACAAGATAGCTCTTGAGTACGGTGAGTAAGTAGTGATAAACTCATGCCTCCCAACTGGCATTCTGATATCTGTTAAACTCCTCTGGATGCTAAGCCTATAAAACCAATTATAAAAGAACCCTGAAACAAGACTGATAATATTCATTCTTTGCTGGTCTAGGTATTGATGTCAAGCTGCTCTCAATGTAGAGCTTGTGGTGCTTTGGTTTATGATGAAGAAATTATGGCTGGATGGACAGCAGATGATTCAAACTTGAACACTACCTGTCCTTTCTGTAAAAGTACCTTCCTACCTTTACTTAATGTTGAATTTAAAGACCTACGTGGCTCTGCAAGGTTAGTGGGTTTTATATTCTTCCTGCCTTCGCACTTGTACGTGGTTATATTTTTTCACAGAAGGATCTTGGTTATATCTCCTAGTATTTTTGCCTAGATGTTCGCAAGAATGTCACTGCTTGTTCGACAGTCGTGATTGTACTGAAGAAAATTATAAGTCATGTAAACTATTGAGTTTCATTGTAAAACAGCCAAAAAGCAGAGAACTGGTTGCCTTTTTACTACTTTTTCTGTTCATATTTTCTTTATAAGCATAACTGTACAGAAGGTATAAGTCTGTTTTCATTTTGTTTAGTTTTTAAAACAAAGCTAATGGATCATGAACATTTTAAAAGTATATGAAGCAGTTTTTAAATCTGCCAGCAAAGAATTTCTCCCAAATTAAATTTACGAACAGCTTTTAGTTACAGATGCTCCAGCTTACTGTTTCTCCGGTAGTTCTCCAGTTTAAGCTTCTCCGCTTACTATTTTTACCTCTTTTAATTGTACTGTGAAGGCTGGAACTTATTTTAAGGTAATTTAAAGTGGATTCTCACTGTAGTGGTTATTGGTGTGAAACAGAGCTTCCATTAGTGTTCTCTAATGCTGAAACTGAACACCTGTAGAGTGTGTACTTAAAAAACCTTAGCAAAGCAAGTCACGTTCCTGTTATCTTGTGCCTATAATGGTGCATGGTCTTCTAGTCTGTAATGTCACATTGCAATAACAACTATTTTCAGTGATGCGTCAGCTATTGATATATTGTTGCTGATGGGGAACCATGACAAATAAGGTCACTTGTAATGTCTTACGTCCAGCATAGGATGTCTTATTTTTCAGATCACATCTCTGTATGTGTTCGTTTACTCTGCCTATATAAGTTACAGTGGAGAGAGTAGGATGAAGTTTGTGTCCTGTTGTCAAGCTTTTTAATGCTGTGTTTCCATATTTTTGCTACTTTTTGAAAGTAAATGTAGGAAATAATAATTTTTTTAATGACTCTATGCTTACATCTTAACCTTTGTATTTCTCTCCCCTCCCATTCATGTTGAACTTAGCTTTTTCCTGAAGCAAAGTACCTCAGGAGATAGTTTACAGAGTGGTAGCCTTCCATTAACCACGTATCCCGTGGAGCAGAAACTGTTGTCCAGTCCAGCTGCTGCTGACCTAATCAGTTTTTCAGATCACCCACAGTCCAGCCACACCATAGCTGAAGAAACTAGCTCTGCAGCTGAGCAGAGGTAGGTAAAACAGGGTTATTAGTTCTGTCAGAAATGTATCAACACCTCCAGTATTTGTCAGAAATGTATCAACACTTCCAGTATTTCTTGTCTACTTCTAAAGTGAAGGTTGGCTTATGTACCAAATATGGTGGAGAAGTACAATTGTAACTTGACCATCGTCTGTTTCCTCTCATTCTTTTTGCATGTTTTAAGTGTGCTTTTATCAATTGGAAATAAGCTGGCTCCATTAAATGAGTGGGTTTTAGAGACACAACTATAGAAATAAATCTTCAGGTCCATCCACTATTGAGTAATAGGTAAAACTTCTACTCAGTATTGTTAGAACACACTCACCTTTTAAAGACACACAGAAATTTAAGCATTACTTCTCCTTTCCTTGTGTTTAGAATTTAACAATAAGGACACTGCAGTATGGGAAAAAATAAGTCCATTTGCTGGAACACTCAGAAAGCTCTCGGAGCACTCAACACTTGTACTGAGCATGCATTCTATGACAAATGATACTGATGTAAAACTGAAACTCAGAAAAACAATACAACTTTTGAAACAGTTCGAGGAAAGATGCGTTAAGGACAAGGTGCATGCTGGAAGAGGGAAGAACTGAAATAGTGCTGCTATGAATTGTGACCTTTTTGCTGGGATTTGTTGACATTTTGCTGTAGTAGGGCTTTTTTTAATCATTATTCAGTTTGGAATTCTTGAGTATCAATGCCTGTGAGCTAATGAGCAAATGCCTGCATCAGAATATTAAAACTTAAATCGATGTGATAGTAGTTAGTCTTAATACTCTAAAAATGAAGGATGGTATTGCTTATGTTAATCTCTTAACTTCGATGTCATACATTTTTAACTAAAGTCAAATTTAGGAGTGAAGGTCACCTCTAAATTAATCTCTTCCCTCTCTTTGCAGATTATTTGGAAACAGACATTTTCTGTTTCACTCGGTGTTTTTTCTTCTGTGTTATAGTTGAATTGTTTTTATCCATTGTTTCAATTATAAGGGGCACAAAATAAATATTCCCAGATCTGCAATCGGCTTGATTGTATGGGTTAAATTTGACAATCCTGTAAATAGGAATTTGCTTAAATTATCTTGTTGGACGAGTTTGACACTTACAATTTTATTTTTTCAGTTATCTTGGCATGCAACTTATAAATTGCTTTCTATAATATTTTTGCTCTGCTTATGACATTTAGAGAAAGTAAACATAAAGGGAAGAGGAAGTAAAAATGAGCACAGTCAGAACAAGATAATCTTTGTGTGTTGACAAAATTGTACATTGCTGTTTTTCTAAGCAAGGTAAAGCTGTAGCAGAGCAAGGGTACCTATACAGAATTGCAGTGCTTTCAGATTCATGTCTTAGGTTATACCTAGCTGCTTTTCTGGGGGGATGGTTATACTGTTCTGAGAGGCGTTTTGTTTTGTTCTCTCTAAACCGTGGAGCTAAGTGGGCAAATATGATTCCTTATTAATAGAGAAACTTGGTTTGGGATACTTACTTGGCAGCCTTTCTCTACTTCCTTCCTGTTGCCATAGGAATGCTGAATAGTTTCATATTAGCATATTCTTTTCTAAAATCCAAACAGTGATGTGGCAGGAGAACAGAGTAAAGATTCCAGAACCATGAAGACACCTGCCAATAATCCACCAAAAAGGGGAGTGTCCTTGACTCGGAGCCACAGTGTTGGAGGTCCACTGCAAAACATTGATCTTTCCCAGAGACCGTCTCATGGCATTTCAACAGTTAGTCTTCCAAATAGTTTGCAAGAAGTTGTGGTAAGTCTAGAAGCTGCACATTCAGTTGACAGCAAAATATTGAATGCAATGAACTTAGAATGAATAATGTTCTACTACTAGCGTTCTTGTCCATTTGGGGAATGGGAACAGCCAAGCATATTTTCATGTTCTTATGACAAAAAAAAACTTGGTCCAGTTAATCTAAAATTGCTTTTTCAGTACATTGTACAAACAGTGCTGCTTGATTTGAAATGTTCTCTAGCAGAATGTAGCTAGTCTTTGTCTTTCTAAAGCTGGAAGTTTGTTTTAAAAATAACCCAACTTCTACAGCAGACTAAACACAATAGTGCAAACAACACACTGTTGCAAGAGTGGAAGTTTGTTCCTTTTCCAAGAATTACTTACTCTCCTCCTCTATATTCTGTTAGGCTTAGCTGTTGAGTAGATGGGAGACAGTAAAAGGCAGTATTGAGACTATTACATTATTCTTGCATGTGAAACAAAGTGTTTCTCCTCTTTCCTGGTGCTTTTTATTGGCAAGAAGCTGTCTTAACATGTGAACTCATGATTCAGTTCCACAGCTGATGTAATTACTGACATTTTTCTGCAATCTTCATCACCACTGGCTTAGTACCAGCTTAGATAGCTTGAAACTGCACAATCAGGAACAAGTTATAACAAATTAGCATTTTCTCTTTTTCACGTGATAGAAAGAGCTTAGGTGATTGTTCTTTAAAGTGAAAAAACACCTCAACGGTCAGAAGTGCTGGTGCTATTAAAGTTATTGTGTATTCAGTACTTCCAGAGGCTTCTTCCAAATAGCAAAAGAAACTGTGCAATGGAGGATTTTTCAGGGCAAGTAATCCTGAAGAGTATTTCTGGAAGAAAAATCTTTGATTTCAAAAAAAAAAAAAAAAAAAAAATTCTTTTGTGTGTGTTGTTTTGTTTTTAGGATCCTTTAATAAAAAGACCTAACCCTCTCCCTGTATCTGTACCCTACTTGAGCCCTTTGGTACTGCGTAAGGAGCTTGAATCACTGTTGGAAAATGAGGGAGAGCAAGTAATTCATACATCCAAATTCATCAATCAACACCCCATAATTTTCTGGAACCTAGTTTGGTATTTCCGACGACTGGATCTACCTAGCAACTTACCTGGACTCATTCTAACATCTGAACACTGTAATGAAGGAGTGCAGGTAAGTGGCTTCCTCGTATTAGAACTGCAGATAGTAGAGTAAGCTAAATTTGAGAGTTGTGTTCAAAAAAAGTGGGTAAGTAATTTCTGAGTAGCTTGGATCTAGGTTCCTTTTTTTTTTTTATAATACAAGTAGATAGATTTGTTCTCTGCAAGGAATCTTGAAGGAAGATGAGTGAAAACAGCATTCAAATTCTAGTCAAGCTGTTCTGTTTTAAAAAGCCAGAGAATAAGATTCATTGAACAGAAGGCTGATATATAGAAGGAAACAAGATATGTCTGTGAAGAACTCAGAAATTGCAATACATTGTAATCCACATAGTATGGATTACGTTCTTCAGTATACAAACCTTTTAAGTTATTGGTCAATATTTTTTGTTTTTTTCCACTAATAGTTTTTGCTATTCAAACTCCACTGAATAGAACAAAAGAACGTAGAATGGATGCTATCTTTTGAGTATTCTGCTTTTCCCATTTTAATGAGCAGATGTTTTCTGAAGCCTGTATGATTTGTGTATGTAAGTACCAAATTCAATAGGTATTTGTATATGATGCATGTGAAAAAGTAGTATTTTCCTATCTACTTGCATGCACTTTAATTTTAAAATTCTCTCCCTCAATTTGAAAAAAACAAACGCCTAGAACCAAGAACAATTTTCCAAGAAATGTAGTTGAAGACCAATACTAATGAAATCTAAAGCATACTGGAAAAATACAATGCATTAGCAGGGAAAAACACAAGATGGGAGATAATATCTTGTAATCACTACTTTAAATTGACACACTAGTGGTAAATTTTTCTTGCCCACTAATTCTTATGGTATTAGTGATTCCAGAGGCATTTAATTTTCTAAAATAGTTATGGAACTATTGTTTTGAGTGCCATATATTTTTTAATGAAAATAAATGGTTCATATTTTTATGCAAATACAGATTCTTTTGCTTGTTGGGAAGACCAACACATAGACATGCATACCAGGCCTTAATCAGGTCAGAAAATACGAAGGTATGGCATGATAAGTAGTACAAATCAAGTAACGTGTTTGGTGCACAAAAAATATTTTCCAGTACATACTCATAAATACTTTCTTCAGATATCTGTAGAAAACTGAATGGTCTTCAGACCTTAGGCTAAACTAGAAAAGGCAATTGAATGTTGCAGTACCTGTGACTTTGCTGTGGTTGAGTGCAGTTTCCTCTAGAAGACGTCAACTGTTCCTGTTTGTTGGATTCAAGATAAATAAAGTAAACCTTTTTTTGTTTGCAAAATGAGTGAAAGAGCAGTTTTCTAAATAGTAAGACTGTACTGATGTTTTTAAAACTTTTTCCCTTTCCTCATGTTTTTTAGCTTCCTTTGACATCTCTTGCTCAAGATAGCAAGCTAGTATACATCGATCTGCTGTGGGATAATATCAACCTCCACCAAGAGCCAGGGGAGCCCCTGTATATATCTTGGAGAAATCTCAGTAAGTAAAACAAATGTTGCAGAAAGCAGAGGGAGTAGAGGATGTGGAAAGAAACAGTTGTTTTATAGTGTCTGAAGTGTACACAGCCCATCAAGTTGGAAAGCTTTTTTAGTGTGTGAAGCATGTGCAATCCCTTAGGTACTTAACATAGGCTTGGTGTCAAATTATTTGTGAAAATATTTTACCAACCTGTGTGAAAAAGATATGTTCTCTGTTCTTTATATGTCATACACTTATAAACAGGCTGGCAGGATTTGCTGTAGATGGGGTGCTAAATAAGCTTCATCTGATTTGAACATTTTCACTGCATTATCTGGTTATATCTATGCCGACATGAAAAAGAAGACTGTATTACAAAAAATGATCTTGTGTTTCTATAAATGAATGAAAGGTTGCAAGTCCCATTAATATCTACATTTGGCAGCCTACTTGACTGTTAAAAAGTGAGCTCCAAGAAAGCCATTGTCTACCATAACTTGATTTGGAAGGAAGAAAAAACGGGCAGACTGGTTATGAGAACTTTTCAGAAAAAAAACCCTTTGTTGACCTAAACTTCTCAGTCTGTGTTTTAACTTTTAAAAACTATGCTAAAAACTGTGTAGCATGCTAATTCTGGTTCTAAGGAAGAAAAAAGGGTTTATTGAAAAGTGTCCTAAAAATAAACAGACTGATCAGGAAATTACAGTCAAGAGCACAGAATAAGATGTGGTGTTTCCCTCAGCTTCTACCAAAGCATTGATTTGAGCATAATAGATGAAAAGCATCCCCAGAGCATTCAGACATGAATGAAGATGCATAAGTATATGTATTTATGTAAATAAAGGAGCAAAAGGACTGTTTTAAATGTGGAAGAAAAGTAGTAGTATTGTAGATAGGCTCTACAGCAGTGTCAGAAAGTATTTGGAAAACAGGCAATTACATTTGTAAACCATCATATATGTCAATTCTATGAAAATTTTAGGTTGGTGTGATTATAGTTACTAGCCTTGGTCTACATTTCATTTACACACCACGTGCTTGCTGCCTAACCTGTAGCCTTATTTTTTTGCCAGTAAATGGACTTACTATTCCCTCATGAGTCACTGTTTTCCAAAGAATAATAGTTCAGTGTTATTCTGGAAGTGGCAATGTAAGCAACAAATCATGGTGGTAAATGTCTTGATAATTTTCTTTCCTGTTTGATGCAACTGTGCGTTATCTATTTCAATATGTAGCCCAAAGTTATCAATGAATTGTAGGTGGCTTTTAAGAAGGGCTTTGGTAGGAAAAGTTTCTTTTGATAAGAAAGGTGACAGTGTTTTCTTTTGTTTTATTTCTTTTCCTTTGTGTAAAAATAACCTTCTTGGAGTGGACTTAAGTACAGCAATAAATCTGAGCTAACAAACCGTCACAGGCAACATCTGATGCTGGATACTCTTCAGTCACTTGTATTTCTCTGTCATGTGGGAGCTCTCGCACATGGATACTTGATGCATCCTGTCACTTTTGTCGTGGAGTAAAGACTTTAAGCAGACAAAGCCTTTCCATTGTAACAAATTTCTGTAGATTGAGTAGAGGTTCTGTAAATATCTCTCACTTTCTGAAATACCTTCTGCTTATTAAAGTGAAAAAAACTTCTTTACTGTAAATCTATACTGTTGCATTTCCCAGATTCTTCTGAAAAGAGACCTTCTACAGTGGCAGAAGATCAGCAGGCAACAAACACTTTGTTGGAGAACATCAAACTAAGTATTCAACACAATGATGTTGCTACACCAATCAATTTCCTTCTACAGAAAGTTAAGCCAGATGTGAAACGACAAAGGTAAAGGGGTAATCTCTTCTTACTTTCTCCCCACTCAAAGTTAAACAAGATCAGACTGTATACACTTCATAATAATTCCATAAGGACCTCTCAGGAATACTCGGTTTCATTTGCGTCCACCAAACACTGTGTGTATTTGTTTATGCCCATGTTTACAAACAGATGCATTCTGTACCCAGATGCATAATTCATCCAAATCAAACGGATAAATGTAATTCTTTAATCAAAATGGACATTTTACAAATGAATAAGAAAAACACAGATATTGACTTATGTAGATTTTGGTGTTGCTCCAGATCTAGCAAATTGATAAATACAAGTGTGCAGCATCCTGTTGCAGTGTCTGGAATAGTCTGCAAACTACCTAGGTATACCTATTGAAATTCTATCAACCTGGAGTACTGGCTAAGAAAAGTGGTTACAGCATGATCCACAAACAAAGGGAGACATGTAAATAACACTTGTACGGTACATTTTGCCATCTGCACTACTATTCAAAGAGGGCTTCATGCAAAAGCACAGCCTCTGAAGTAAATTACAGCAGATAGAAGATGTGTTTGAAGTCTGTCATGCTAAGTCATCTCTGCTTCTGTGATTTGTAGTTACTAAAAAGAAACAAGAACTAATCTGCCTAGAGAAGAATCTCTGAGTTCCACAAGGAAAAAAATTAGTATTTAGTTGTTTAGTGATAATCCAGTTCTGAGATAGATCGTGACATTCTGAAACAAAAAACAAAGTATGGGTGATACGAAATAAGCCTGCCCCCTGTACTTCACCCTCAGGCAGGAATGAGTTAATAAATAAATGGTGCTTAATTTTGTATTTCTTGTTTTTCTGGAGTTTTTGTGGCACATCCACATGGCAGAGGGATTTTTCATAGAAAATGTAACTGCTGGGTTTGGTGATAATATAACTTCATGTGTTAAGGAAAAATATTCAGGCATGAGAAAACCTTAAGCTAGGAATCATGTAGATTGCTCACTTTCTTCACTAGCAAGATTAACAGAACAGTTGCAGAAACTACATAATGGAATATTAGCATCTTCAACATTGACTTTCTAAACTTAGGATAGTTGGTGCTTTCACTGACTTGCCCTTCAAAATATTTCCTAGGAGTTTTTACAGAGAAATTCTTTTCCTGTCTCTGGTGTCTCTTGGAAGAGAGAACATTGATATTGGTAAGTAAAAATAATGTGAAATGCATAGTGCCTGTGTATGAAATATATTAATACTTTATATGAAAACTAGTGTATAAAATCAACTTTTCATCCATGAGTTTCTAAGTAACTTTTCAATTGCTGTGTTTTAGTGAAAAGTACTGTGCTGTCACTCTTCAAGTAGGTGTTGCTTTTATGAAAATGTAATTTAGATGGGGCCATTAATTTTTACTTTGTTTGAAACCAGTAATCAGTGATTTTAAACAAAGTTTATTAGCTTGAAGCTTTAATTCCTCATGTCTGAAAACTTGTTCCCAGTGTTGTCCATCTTTCTCTGACCCACATATTAGACCTATGTCATCTAGCCACCTGATTGCCCACCCCTTCCTGATCTCCTCTGTCCTGACTATGCAAGCAAAGGAACTCCCTTATGGGATGTGAAAGGGGAAATACCCTGGGAATGGGCAAACTGAACTGTGATAGAAGTAATGGGCATCCACTGTGATGCGCTGTGATGCTCCAGTGTGAAGATGCTTTTCAGGTTCTCAGAGAGGATGCATTTTGGGGAAAAAAAAAAAATCAGCGGCTGTTAAGATAATTATTTTGTTATTATATAACAATTACCGAAAGTATTTTATAGGAACAGTAGTGTGCACTGTACGGGGTTTCTTAAATAACTTCAACTATGCTTTTTCTATTCCAGAGGTCTTTGATAATGAATACAGATTTGCACATAAAAATCTACCAAAGGATGTTCTTGAAAAGATGCAGAAAATAGATGCTCCACCAAGCAGCAGGGTTGAGTGTTGTAGGAAGTGCTTTGGAGCACCTTTAATATAAAATTGAGGAAGATGCACGCTAAACTTCAGTGAGACAAAAGCAGAGGTCAACAAACCAGGAGCATGGTGATATATACACTTTGAATCCCAAAAGGTGATAACTGAGCAATTTGTCAAAGCAATTTCATTGAACTACAACATATATTCTTGTCTTTCATCTCATGAGACACAGTATAAAGTACGTTAAAATGTTTTAAAACTAAATTAATAGGGTGAGTTGGTTTCAGTGATTGATCTGCTTTTTTCTCCTGTATATACTTCTCCTTTTCCTTCCTCAAATCTTTCCCCTACAATATAAAGTTGTTCAAAAAGGTGATGTTTAAATAGCAGCCTGTAGTTGGTGACGTTCTTAAGGGCAACCAGTATTTGTGTATTTTAATGAAATACCTTTCCTGCCACAGAATACTTAGATTCTTCACTACTTCTTTAAAATGACCTTTATCTAAAGAGGGATCTTTTTGTTGGTGTGCAGTATGTATGTATGAATGTAAATATTTGAGTCTTGGATTGGAAGTTGCAATGTAGTTGCTTTTGTCAGATCACAGTACCTAAAATTGCTACCCTTCTCCTGACCCTTGTCCCTATCAGTATTCTTAATTATCTTTGGCTGACCTTTTCATAATGTATGTCTACAGTTGTAAAAACCAGAAACTTACACTCAGTTTTTCTGTATTCTCTATCTGACAAACTGAAGATCCTATGAATGTACTGCCACTTTCTCCAAAAGAATGATAGGCGTCTACACTAAGCAGCTCAGAAATGGATGGCTTTCTAAAAATTAGATAGGAAGCTTAAATGGCATTAGGATACATACAACATTTGTCAAACAGATACTGTCTGAAAAAATTATGCTTTATACTGTATGCATGTATACTTAAAAAGTGTCTTTTCCTTGAATTCTTTATCACCCTCTCCCATGGTTTCATGCTAGCCTGTGGGTTACTTATTTTGCACTGATAGTCCAAATTCAATATTTCAATTAAAATGTATTTCTAAATATGTTCTTCAAAGTGTATATTAGCACAAATGAAGTGCTTGAGTGTATGATCTGAAAAGATGAATCCATCTTTCGGATTGCTTCTAGTAGATAAGACACTTCCTCACCTCACATACCTAATTGACTACAGTAGTCAGTCTTGGCAAGAAGGGCCTGGATACTGGTCAACAATTTAAATGTTTCTGTTACTTGAGGAATATGATAAGATTTATTCCAGGTTTTTTGCTGAAATTTAATGGTGTGGCTTTTCTGGTGGAATTATTCCTAGAGAAAAAAAGAGTAAGATTTGTAGCATGTTAAAGGAGCATAGCTAAAACTATAATCGCATCTGAGTATGAATGTATTTACTTCATACTAGTCTTTTTCTTAAAAGTTTTCATTCTTGAAAATGATGAGGGATGAAAATCTGTCTGGAACAGCTTCTACATGAAACAACAAAACCAACTTTTGTTTTTTCATGAGGCTAAAACAAAGGATTTGCACTATTTGTGACAAAATACATTTGCATCATAGACTGATTCCTTGTATTTTGTCTAAAAGTGCTGATCCTAAGTTAATATGGGGATATTGCCTGGACAGATTCTCTCCTGATGAAAATACTGTGTTTTCTCAACAATTAAAAGCAAGAAAGCACACACTGACTCTTTTCTCATTCTTTATTCTTTGAGTTTATGCATAGTTGCTTGCTGATACCTGACCTACATCACAATGGAAGAGTAGAGCTTGATTCTTCATATTTTCCTCTCTTTTTCTATTACATAATTGACATGCACGGTTCCATCCTTTTAAAGTAAAAGTCTCTCTGAAGCAGTCGTCCAAACAACTTGTACAAATTAAAATGGCAAATTTTCCTGTATAATTCTATACTGATCTTAAACATACAGCTATGCAAAGACTATTTTTGAGTGTTAAATGGACAAACTATATGATTATGTGGATTGCTCCTAGTAGATAAGACACTTCCTCACCTCACATACCTAATTGACTACAGTAGTCAGTCTTGGCAAGAAGGGCCTGGATACTGGTCATGTATCCACATTCATTGCAACTTGCAATGAATCAAGTTTTAGTTGTCCTTAAATTCTCCCAGCTCATTAAATTGCAAAGAAAATCTGTCCAGTGAGTGCTGTTTTAGATAATTGGTGACATCCAAATTGTTTTAAACCATTGTAAATAATATAAACTCAATTCTGTAAGCAGATCACCTTCATTTCAAAACAACCTTCCCATCTGTTGATGAAAATATAGATTAATCAGGCAGTAGTGTTGTAGAAACAGCAAAGCAGATTGTGTCACAGCATCTCGCGCTAAATGTTAGACTTTCCCCAGGTACATACACTAAACAAATAAAAACCTAAAGCCTGAGGGGAAAAGGGCAGCTGCAGGATTGAACTTGCTTTGATTTGCTCCTGCATATTGGTGTTTCTGTACACTACAAATTAACTTCTCTTCCTGTTGTATGTACCTGGATTTCAGAGTGGTAGAAGTCCTGCATGTAATTACTTGAAATCTTGAATCTGCCTATTGAAATTAATTCTTCAATATAGAATGACAAAAGTAAGTGCTTACTCTTTCTAATTTGGATTTTTTTAATGCCTAGTTTTTAATAGCTAACTAATCAGCTGGTTCTTGAATGAAACCCATAGTTCAAATGAAAAGGGAGATCTCTGAAAGCAATTTGTTTATTAAGTTTTCATCTAAGGAGATCTTTTTTGGGGGAGAAAAAAGTTCACAAAAATTTGAAACGAATTAAGAACTGAGTATTTTTTTCCTAGTTGCTTTCTCTCCTTTCAAATGCATGATGGCACTTCCTGTTCTTCCTTGGACTTTTAGGTCTCCTCCTCCAAACAGGTAGAGACTGCAGGTTTTCCTACACAAACTTTCTGACATGTAGGCTCCCCTAATTTGAATGCTGAAAGAACTGTGAGCACACATAAGAAAAGGGCGTGGCATAAAATAGCTTAGCATGGCTCGATACTCATATGGTTGAAAATCTGGCCAAAAATAAACAGGGAAAAGTCTTCAAAAGTTTTTTGTGAGTGCATTGCAAACACTTTCATCTTTCTGAAAATTGGGCACTAAAGTTCTAAGTTCTTCTCTGCAAGTTAGTAATAGCATGAACTTCTTGGGCTACATAGGAATGACTTAGTTACCTACAAATGCTTCTAACTTGTTTGACACCCCGCTCCTAGTAATCCAAATTTATCTGAATCCATAATGCATGAATGAACTGGACAAAGGGTTGTGAAGGAGGGGTGTGGATAAGCTTGATCTGGGTTCTGTTTTCCTCTCAGTGTAAGCAGAAAAAGTAGCATTTTGTTCACTTGCAAAACTCTGCCTCCAAATGCTCTTTCTAGTAGCTCAGCAGCCAGCGTTCAGGAGGAGATGGCTCTTCTGTGTGTATTTTGGAATTCTCAGTATAAACGTGAAGAAAATGGTTGCAGATCGGTATTAACTTCAAAACCTGCAATGTGTGCACAGAGTGAGGGTATAAACCAAACTGACTACGTATGTGGATGCAAAATGTTAATGAATTTCAGGTAAGCCCAAGAACTTAGAAAGTTTGTGTTGGAATAACAATTATCACAGAGAACCTTCCTTGAATTGTTGCCCTAAGGATGCTGAGCTTCAGTCAGTTATGCTGAGAAGATACCATCTTGCACCTTTCACCCAGCTATAAAACAGTTACATATAGCTTGTGTGCTCATATCAAAATAGCTATTTTTTGTATAATTAAAACAACAAATGGGTTCTTAAAGGTTTAAAATCAGGATTCTTAAGTGACAAAGTTTTTCTTTATGAATTATAAATATATTCTGGCACATTACCAAGACATAACAACTTTCAAAACCCCGTAGCTATAGGAGACTGATGTGGCTGCAGTATTGGCACAGTAATAGGTACCAGCTTGTACACGTTACTAGAAACATCTGTATGTTACTTATAGTCATATCCTGTCTTCACATTTTATATAACTCAACCTTAGACAATACAATTTTAATGGAAAATATTTTATTTAGTATATGGGTTTCAAACTAAACTCCTTTGTTTTGCAAGTAACTTAGTCTTGTTCCTAGTGGAATTTCACATTGGTTAAGTTCAAGCTACATTGCACTTGTGAATGAGTAATTTTATTCCATTTTAACTGTGAATTAATGGCTTTTTGTATTGCTGCAGCTAGAGGAATATACCTTTCATTGAGTTTACTGCTTTCCTTGAATAACTGCAACATAGGGGATATTTTCAAAATGTATATTAAATTAGATAAGAGAAATTATATTTTTTAAAACAAATTGTTAAAATGTAAGTAACTGAAGAATCCACTCGGTAGTTTTCTCTTTTTAAAACTTAATTCAACAATAATTTCAATGCAGATAACTTTATTTCATTAAATGGTAAGCAGATTGTCTTATTCACATAACTGTACATTTTCAACAAAGGTTTTTTTCTTTTAACTAATAAAAACCTTAAGGTGCCTTCTGTATATCAGCTCTTCATTATGGACCTTTTTAAAAAAACAAACAAACACCCTTGTAACTTTTAAGTCTTGAAACTGAATGGTTTAATTGGACTCTGGTTCTGTATTCTACTGTGCTGTATATTGTGATGCATATGAGGAGAGAAACGGATGGGGTTTTTATTTGTTCTTTCAGTCTGCATCAATCAATGGTGCAAATAAAAGGGATTGTTTGCTGTTTTTAGAAGCACATTAAACTCCTTTTAGGAGCTTAAAATAAACTATTGTAATGAGGATGAAAGGATGTAGTGTGAATAAATTATGATTTTATTAAGTGAGCTGGGAAGTTTTCTTTAATGCAATAAAATTTGCACTGGTTTAGAGACTGTTTTGAACTGTTGAAAAATGGCATCCATTTACTGTGCTTTGATTAACAAGTGTTTCTCTATAATGTTTTTGTACATTTGACAAATGTTTCTTGAGTTTAAAAGGGCACTCTGCATATTCTGAATTCTGTATAGATATCCTAGACTAAGAAACAATTTTTAATGTATTTCCCAAAATAAAATATGTATGCATCCTGTGTAAAAAAAATTTCAATTGTTCAGCTTTTTTGCCATTGGAACTTATCTGTTTGACAGAATTTAACCTTAAATGCAAATTCAGCCTGTAGTTAGGCAACAGCAGAGACTTTTGACTGCCTTTTTGGGGAATTGTTTCCTAATACCTCAGTGACTTCTGAATGAGCAGAAGCAGGAGCAGTCGGGGCAGGGGGAGAGGGAGAGGAAGAGAAAAGACGGGGTTCACTTGTGGAGATCTGGTTCATGAGAGAGGATGGCTCTGTGGCACCTTAAGCAAGCCATGGGGACGAGCAGAGGTAAGAAGAATTGAAAACCAGGGTGAGGGAGTCAGAATCCATGAAGATTTTGTTTGCAGGAAAGTCATGGACCCTGGCTTCCTGACGGTAGAGCTGCTTGCTCTCTGCTGACCAGGAAAAGCATCGTTAATTGGTGGTGGGAGCAGGTTGGTGGCTCTACTTGGCGGAATACTTCCCAGCGGTTCTGGTTTGTTCTGTAGTGGCAGCACAGAGTGCATCTGTCATGGTTTAACCCCAGCCAGCAACTGAGCACCACACAGCCGCTCACTCA